TAGTACATTTTGAAACTAGGTATTGTGATGCCCCAAGGATTGCTCTTTTTTGCTCAGGATGGCTTTGGCTCCAGACCTCTTTATGATGCCCATTTGGAGGGTGAGGTGAAGTTATGAGGTCACAGCTATCCACACTGGGAAGAAAAGAAACGATTCCCACACAACCCACCATTCACAGCTCTGGTGTTCAAGACTCAGTTCCCATGTGAAATTATGCAGGTCTGCAGCTACCTCCTTACCTTCCAATCTTCCCTTCCCTTCCTTTCTTCCTTCTTTCCTTCCTTCCTTCCTTTCTTCCTTTGATCTTCTCCCTCCCTCTCTGTCCCTCTCCCTCTCTCTCTCCCTTTCTCTTTCAGATTGAACCAAGGGCTTTTGCACTGAGCTATATCTCCAACATTTTTGTTTCTTTTGAAGGCAAGGTCTCTCAAAGGTACTCAAGCTGGGCTTGAATCTGCAATCCTCCTGCCTCAGACTCCTAGAACATTGGAATTACAAGTCTGCACTCTCATACATGACTCTGAGCATCTGGTGAAGTGTCCTCCTTTTTCTTCAGTGTCACATAATTTCCCCACCATGCATAATTTCCTGCAGGTTGGTTTCAGAGGTTCTCCCCTGGGGTTAGAGTATGTCTCAAGGCAGACACCTGCTGAGTTATTGTGGCAATGTTTGATGCTGGTTCCTTGGGGCAGGGAAATTCAGAGGTCTTTGACTTCAGAGAAGGAAGCTCAGACAGGTCCTTCCCATTTGTGCTTACTTGGTCTCTCTGCCTAAGTTTTCCATGCCTCTGTCCACTATTGAACTTCAGTATTTTCCCGGTTACTCCCCTCGATTAATAACTTCTCTCCAGTTGTTCCAGTTCTGTCTGATGGAGAAGTGGGCAAGTGCTAGGCACTTGTAATCTCTCTTCTTGTATTCCTCCACCCATTTGTAATCTTTGGGGATTGAATTTCTTTCACTCAGAATCATTCACTTGAGTTCCTTTCAAGCTACTTGTATGAATTGTTTGTTTCTCTTCCTGCTGAATAGTATTGCAAGGTACAGATATACTATAATTTAACCATTTATCCACTGAAAATATTGGAGTTATTTTAAGTTTTGAAATATTACAAATAATACTTTTATGAATGTTTGTTTATAGCTTTTTTGTGTTCTTAAGTTTGCATTTGTCTGGAATAAATGTTCTGGTGTACTACTTGGTTTTATAATAAGTCTATATTTATAACAAGTGTACATTTTTTAATGAAATTGCCACCCAACACTCTGGGAAGCTGAGGCAGGAGGATCCTGAGTTTAAGCCTAGCCTGGGAAATTTAGCAACTTGGTGAAACTTTGTCCCCAAAAGAAATAATAAAACATTAAAAAGGACTGCAATGTTGTTCTGTGTGAAGGCCCTGTATTCAATCACCAGTACTGAAAAAAAATTGCTGGACTTTTTCTCTGAGTGACTGACTGTCTCATTTATTTTGCATCCCTACCAGCAATGTATGAGTGTTCCAGTTTTTAAAATCTCTATCAACCTTTAGTATTGTTTGGTATATATATATTTTATATTAATATATGTCTATTGTAGCAGTAGTTAAATTTAGCTAATTAAT